TTTTATCTTATCTTTGCATCCAGCTACAGCACCTGTATGGTTACTATGAAAGGAGCTGTAGCCCTTTAGTAGGCATCAATCTTCTTTTGGTAAGTAGATACCATAGTTAAAACAGGTTCAGGTTCTTTGTGGTCTGGCAAGTGGGCTGTGTATGCTAGTGGGATTTTAGTTCTTTGTGGATCATGGGCTTTCCTTGAAGTATAAGTTTAGGAAATGTCAAGCTATCAAAGGCATTTGGCCTACTGATGTTCTGTGAAGCCATTATTATTTTACTACATGTAAACCACACAATAACCAAATTCTGTTACTCAGCATTGTAATCATTATAGAGAATAAACTTTGGAATTGAATTGAATTGAATTGAATGTATTTGGCTAGGGTCAAGCAAGCACCAGGAAGGATACCCTTTTGGTTGTTGGTTGCTTTGCAGCTCTGGTAATTACATACATCATCTCATCATTATCCCTGGGACCACTAACGTACAGCTGAACCCCTAAATTTGCAAGGATTACAATCTTAGAGGTACAATGAATCTAGAATCCATAAATAATGAAAAATTGTCTTCTTAATAAGTTGGTCAATTTGGGCTCATTTTTTATTTTAAAGGTCAGTTTCTCTAAATACCTTTCAAATCTTAGTATTATTATTAATGTACAGTGGACCCTCGACCAACGATGGCATCAACTAACGATAAAATTGGCTAACGATGCGTTTTTGTGTAAAAATATTGGTTCGACCAACGATGAAAAACTCGGGTAAGAACATCTGTCCTGAATGCATCCGCCTGTCCATCCAGCCTGAGCGCCTCAGCTGCCCTGCCTTCAACTAGTGTGCCATTGTTTACAAGCCAGGGTGGACAGTTCCACGCATACATGCGATACATTTTGTATTATTCCATTGCTTTTAGTGCTTGTAACTGCTAAATAAGCCACCAGGGGCCCAAAGAAAGCTTCTAGTGCCAACCCTGTGGTAAAAAGGGTGAGAAATACTATCGTTCCACGGTCTGCTGCTGTACCATGGTCAGCTGCTGCTACTGCTGCTGTACCACCGTCAGCTGCTGCTGCACCACCGCCAGCTGCTGCTGCACCACCGCCAGCTGCTGCTGCACCACCGCCAGCTGCTGCTGCACCACCGCCAGCTGCTGCTGCACCACCGTCAGCTGCTGCTGCACCACCGTCAGCTGCTGGTGCACCACCGTCAGCTGCTGGTGCACCACCGTCAGCTGCTGCTGCACCACCGTCAGCTGCTGCTGCACCACCGTCAGCTGCTGCTGCACCACCGTCAGCTGCTGCTGCACCACCGTCAGCTGCTGCTGCACCACCGTCAGCTGCTGCTGCACCACCGTCAGCTGCTGCTGCACCACAGTCAGCTGCTGCTGCACCACAGTCAGCTGCTGCTGCACCACCGTCAGCTGCTGCTGCACCACCGTCAGCTGCTGCTGCACCACCATCAGCTGCTGCTGCACCACCGTCAGCTGCTGCTGCACCACAGTCAGCGGCTGTACCACAGTCAGCTGCTGCACCACTGTCAGCAGCTGCTGCTGCACCACTGTCAGCAGCTGCTGCTGCACAACAGCTGTTGCTGCACCACCTCAGCTGCTGCAGCACCACCGTCAGCTGCTGCAGCACCACCATCAGCTGCTGCAGCACCACCATCAGCTGCTGCAGCACCACCGTCAGCTGCTGCAGCACCACCATCAGCTGCTGCAGCACCACCATCAGCTGCTGCAGCACCACCGTCAGCTGCTGCAGCACCACAGTCAGCTGCTGCTGCACCACCATCAGCTGCTGCTGCACCACCGTCAGCTGCTGCTGTACCATGGTCATCTGCTGCTGCACCACCATCAGCTGCTGCTGCACCACAGTCAGCTGCTGCTGCACCACCATCAGCTGCTGCTGTACCACAGTCAGCTGCTGCTGTACCACAGTCAGCTGCTGCTGTACACGTACTGCTGCTGTACAAGTCAGCTGCTGCTGTACCACAGTCAGCTGCTGCTGTACCACGGTCAGCTGCTGCTGTACCACGGTCAGCTGCTGCTGTACCACGGTCAGCTGCTGCTGTACCATGGTCAGCTGTTGCTGCACCACCGTCAGCTGTTGCTGCACCACTGTCAGCTGTTGCTGCACTACCGTCAGCTTTTGCTGCACCACCATCAGCTGCTGCTGCCCCACCGTCAGCTGCTGCATCCATCATCAGCTGTACTACTCGAAGATGTGGACAGTGTGTTGTTGGTGTGGCTTAACGAGAAACAATTAACCCCAGAGGGTTAGCCACCCAGGATAACCCAAGAAAGTCAGTGCATCATCGAGGACTGTCTAACTTATTTCCATTGGGGTCATTGATCTTGTCCCTCAGGATGCGACCCACACCAGTCGACTAACACCCAGGTGAACAGGAAAAAATGCCTGGAACTAGTGCTCATATTGGTGAATTTAAGGCCAGCAAAGTTTGGTTTGAGAGATTTAAGAATCATAGTAGCATACACAGTGTGATAAGGCATGGAGAAGCTGAAAAATTCCAACCCCAACAAGTGTTCAATTGTGATGAAACAGGCCTGTTCTGGAAGAAAATGCCAAACAGGACCTACATTACTCAGGAGAAAAAGGCACTGCCAGGACACAAACCTGTGAAAGACAGACTAACTCTCATGTTTTGTTGTAATGCTAGTGGGGAATGCAAAGTGAAGCCTTTACTCATGTATTACTGAAAATCCCAGAGTGTTCAAGAAAAAGTGTCTCATCACTCATCAATACTCTTCAATAAGAGTAAGTGTCATTTTAGCATTTATTTATGTAGTTATTGTGCATGTCTCATTGTTTTCTTTGTAGGGAAATGTATATTTCATAAAAAAAAATATTTTTTTTTATACTTTTGGCTGTCTGGAACGAATTAACTGGATTTCCATTATTTCTTATAGGGAAAATTAATTCAGCTAATGATAAATTTGGCTAAGGACAAGCTCTCTGGAATGGATTAATATCGTTGGTCGAGGGTCCACTGTACAGTGAAACTTGAGTTTTCGTATGCCCTAGTCTGTATGTAAAACTATAGCTATTCTCAAAAAATTTATTTTTTGAGAATATTTTTGGGTGTCTCGAATGGAGTAATTGGATTTACATTATTTCTTATGGGAAATATTAACAAAAAATACATTTTATAGAGAATAACTAGAGAATACAACCTAGGGCATACAAAAACTGAGGTTCCACTGTATAGTAAAAAGTGACTAGAAAAGAGATTTTGGCATGGGAAAAACCCACCGAGCACGTTTTGAACAAAATTCTGTGATTAGTTTTCAGTTAGCAGTTGTGCACCAAGCTTCCAAAAAATTTGGTACTATGAAAATACTACAGATAATCAAAACTATTCTCTGGAGGCCTTGCCATAAATTATTGAATACATGAATCCTGCAAATTAGGAAGTACTTAAATTGGGAAGAAGGGGGGCACAGTTCAACTGTATACAGTGCCATAACTTTTTGGGCTCTGAAGTGGGTAGAGAGAACAAGCAACAAATTTCAATGTACAGGATTGGGGTATACAATATGGCTGATTGTACGGAACTTCCAAATTATGAAATGAATTTTTCATGACTGTAATTGTGCTGTGAACCAGCAGACTTTGTCCACTGATGCAGAAGAAAACCAGACACTAAGAATACAGGCATTGTCACCTGAAGTACTACGGTACAGTATTTTTTAGTATTGTATGTAATTTTACTTCTCTATGCACTGCAACTCATTATTGTAATTTCATAATCTCAATGTAATCTTGAAAAGAAATAAATTTTGTTTACCTTTTCATGGTGGGGACATGAGGTATAAACTGTCGTTATCGAAACTGATGACTTAGATAACACTTATTTTGAGTTAGAGAAGCTGTAAAGCTATACTTGCATCTACACTAAATTAAAGAGCAGTCTTCAAGTTTGTTCTTGCTTCTATCAGATGCTGTTTTTAACAGCATATTCCTCATATACCCATGCCACTGAGATGCCAGACTCAACATTCTTTATTAGTTCAAGGTTCTGCTTAACAATGAGAGCTACACATTTCCTCTGGGCACCTCTGGCCAAAGACTCCTCGAGTTTAACACTTAGTTTGATTATATTATTACTAGCACCACTACTTGCTTTAGAAGCCATTGGCATTAAAATGCCTTTTCCCACAAAGTGAAGGGTTTTTGATCCAAGAACTCAACCTATCCTCTCCTTGGATCAAACCTGATTGTGTCTCATTCACCTATGGCTTTAATACTCCCCCATGAATATAATCTTCAATACCTTGACCTACCTGTACTATCTATTCTCCTCTCTGATGGTCTGCCTTTCAATACAGATTCTCTTATGATTTCTTAATTGACAATGACTTGCTACACAAACTCTGCCCTAAGTTTCTCTCTTACATATGTCCTCCTCCCAACATCTAAATCTTTCTGTTTATTGTCTCCCTTACCACGGTGCAATGCTCAGTGACCCACAAGTTTAGTACTCTCCATGAATATAATGTAAAGACAGTGGTAAAGAACCTACAATGAGAACCTGTAATAATTATTAATGAATTCTACATATTAGTTAGGCTATTACTGCAGCAAAGCACTTACCACCAGCATCCACTCTTAACAAGCTAACAAGAAAAAAATATTCATTTAATAAAATGAAACTTTAGTGGAAGAAAAAAAAGTAGTGTATAGTACTGTATTATCAACTGACTTATGCAAGTACAAAAAAATAAGAGAAACTATTCAGCTATGCTAATGTAGTGGCTCGTAAGGCAAGACCAACTGGTATACTTTGGAAACAAACACATATGCAGTTTAATGTGATCCTTTATTTTCAAGTCACAAACACTGCATATGTGTTTATGTTTCCATTGTGTCGGTATTTTATACCATTTATTTTCATGGTATACTTTCCTGAAGTTGTAACTAGAAATTACAGCCACTGTGCAGATAACTAGTAAAAATTTTTTGTTTTAAAGATTAAAATAAACATTTACTTACTTGTATGGCTTCTCATCACCCCGCATATCACAAACAGTGTTGGTGAGAGCCATAATGTAATGTTTTGCCAATGTCAGTGTCTCAATCTTGCTCAACCTCCTGTCCATCTTCACATGTGGGATGACTTCACGTAACTCCTGAAGAATCATATATTATGTAGATATTTCTTTACAGTAAAACATTGACTTTACATCTAGTATATACATTTTTTAAGCATTACAGCTGGATGCCTCCAAAAGAATTTCCTCCACATTTCTTGGATGCCCAAATTATTATGCAGCCTCTCCTCACCTAACGACGGAGTTCCGTTCCTAAGACCACATCAGTAAACGTATTCGTCGCTAAGTAAGTTTATTCAGGTATACACAAATACAGTTACATAGAATTATCATACATAGCAGCGTATGTGTAGAGAAACTAGGATAGCCCAAAAAAGTCAGACAGAGTGACTTATTTCCACTGGGGTATATCTAGCCTAGACAGGACTCGCAGCAATGGTTTTAAGTTGGAAAAATTCAGATTCAGGAAGGATATAGGAAAGTACTGGTTTGGTAATAGAGTTGTGGATGAGTGGAACAAACTCCTGAGTACAGTTATAGAGGCCAGAACGTTGTGTAGCTTTAAAAATAGGTTGGATAAATACATGAGTGGATGTGGGTGGGTGTGAGTTGGACCTGATAGCTTGTGCTACCAGGTCGGTTGCCGTGTTCCTCCCTTAAGTCAATGTGACCTGACCTGACTAGGTTGGGTGCATTGGCTTAAGCCGGTAGGAGACTTGGACCTGCCTCACATGGGCCAGTAGGCCTTCTGCAGTGTTCCTTCGTTCTTATGTTCTTATAATGGTAGTAGGTTTGTGTCAACCATCTTTGATATTGTTTTAATGTCATGTCACTTTTGCACCATTTATAACATTTTTAGTATATTTTTAAATGTTTATACAGTAGTTTACTGTATATTGTAATAAACAGAATAGAGGAAATCAGCTCTAATATACATTATTTAGGTATGCATACTGGTCAGAGAGTCCGTTGTAAGTCTGAGTCATTGGTAAATAGTATGTCACTAAGTGAGGAGAGGCTGTACTTTAAGCTTATCTTTAAAGCTTATCTAAAACCTCAATTTAAAAAAAAAAAAAATTCGAGATTTTCATGGTTATTTTTTTTCTTGGCACCTCCAGCATCACTCATATTCCTCTCAGGTACTGTAGGCTGATAAAAGATAAGTAAATTTATTGTCTTTTAACTCTGACCAATGCTGTTGCCAGTAGTTTTGGAGTCTGAGAGTTATAAAAAATAGTTCAGATAAGGGACTGCCCTGTGAGAGATCAGCAGATCATGATTAGCAAACTGAGCAGTTGATTCTGCATGTTCATTGCTTTGAATATCAGTCACAAGGGATCCAAAAATGTTTATCATACTTGCTAAAAAATGCAGTGTAGCCACTATTGTTTACAAAGAGTGATGGGATGTGGAAGTCATATTTATGGATAACGTGTAAATCTGAAACAATGAGGTGGACACAAACACATGACACTGCAGTGTACACTGATGGTTCTAAATCCTCTGATGGTGTTGGGTTTGCAGCAATGTTCCCAGAGTTGTGTGAAGGCATTCATTAGAGTTGGACACTTTTGCAGCTGAACCGTATACAAATCTCATTGCAATTATTCATATTGCATCTATGCCTACCTCAGCATTTGTAGTAGTCTCAGACTCCTTTAGTGATTTGCAAGCTATTAAAAAATTTGATTTGCCTCATCCCCCAGGTCTTCACATACAAGTCTGATTGTGCCACATTTCTAGCAAAAACAAAAACTATTTTCTGCTGGGTCCCTGGTCATGTTGATGTTCAGGGCAATGAGCAGGGAGACTCTGCTGTGTGGTCAGCAATACATGACCTAGTTTCACATGGAGGTATTCCACTCAAACTGAGCACATCCCAACCGTCACCCCAGGTAACATTATTATATGCTTACCCTATGTAGGAGATATTCTAGTTATTGTTTCTAAACGTACAGGAATTAACACTGTGCTTGCCAAAATCAACAGTCAAGAGCCAATTACCAAATTTTCTCCTGAGGAAAACAAAGGGCAATAAACATATATTCTTAGATGTCCTACTAGATGCAAGTGGGAACAGACTTCCCCTCAAAGTGTACAGGAAATCCACTAACAAAGCCAACCTGAGCATTTTCACTGGCAACATGATACATGGAATAAGAGGTGTTGTCACCAGTTCTTTTGAGCATGAAGATTTGCAGCCCACAGTTCCTTGTAGAGGAATGTGATCACATTATCCAAATGTACACAGACCTACAGTTTTATCCCCACACATCGCTTCTGACTGCAGGAAATGGACACACAGCTACATGGGAATGGACATCCACTAGATACCATCATTCTTGGTTTTAGGGTAGCCAAAAATATTACCAAGGCATGTGCAAGTCACAAAATGAGTATGAGGGAGGAAGGAGAGAGACAGGAGGAAGGGAGGAAGGAAGTAAGGGAGGGAAGAAAGAGAGAAAAAGAGAGAAAAAGAGAGAAAAAGAGAGAAAAATAGAGAAAAAGAGAGAAAAGAAAGAAAAAAGAAAGAAAGAAAAAAGAAAAAGGAAAGAAAAAAAGAAAGAAAGAAAGAAAAAAAGAAAGAAAGAAAAAAGAAAGAAAAAAGAAAAAAAAGAAAAAAAAGAAAGAAAAAAAGAAAAAAAAAGAAAGAAAGAAAAAAGAAAGAAAGAAAAAGAAAGAAAAAAGAAAGAAAAAAAAAAAGAAAAAGAAAGAAAGAAAGAAAGAAAGAAAGAAAGAAAGAAAGAAAGAAAGAAAGAAAGAAAGAAAGAAAGAAAGAAAGAAAGAAAGAAAGAAAGAAAGAAAGAAAGAAAGAAAGGAGGGGAGGGAGGGAGGGAGGGACGAGGAGGACGACAACTTTACTTCTACCTAATATCCCATAACATACTTTACCCCTGCTAGTTTGGATTTAGACCAAAAGAAAAAGTGTGAATGATGCTATTACACAAATGCCCGAACTACTATATAAAGCCCTCAAAAAAAAAAAGGAATATCCTCTGGGGTTCTTCATAGACCTACGGAAAGCACTTGATAGAGTGGAGCACAATCTCTTGCACCTAAAACTAGACTATCACGGCATCAAAGAACTAAAATCTTATCTTAGCAATAGACACCAGTATGTATACACAAATGGAGTTAACTCCACTAATCAGCCTGTAGTTGCGGGAGTGCTCCAGGGTTCCCCTACTTCAATTCACACTGAGGGTAAATTTCTAGGTCTTCTCCTTGACTGTAATCTTAAATTTCATTCCCACAGCCAGCATATATATAAGAAAGTTTCCAAATCAGTAGGCATCCTGTCCAAGATACAGTACTTGTACCCCAAATGACACTCCTAACACTATACCACTCTATGATATACCCCTACCTCACTTATGGTATTTGTGCTTGGGGACTGACCACAGCCAATCACCTTAAGTCTTTAATAACCCAACAAAAAGCTGTTGTGCAGATAATCAACTCCTGTGCCAGACAGCACACCCCACCACTTTTCAAAAGCTTGAACTTACTATATATACACTCATATTACTGTGCCTACTACATGTACAGGACATTAAACTCCAATATAAACTCTCCACTCAAACTCCTCCTTGATAGCTACAGCAGAATGTACAGTCACAACACAAGGCACAAAACACATTGACATCCCTCATGTCCATCTCACACTATGCAAAAATGCAATGCACAAAAAGGGCCTGAAGATATGGAATTCATTACCCGAACCAGCAAAAGGTCCCCTGCCGGCAAACAAATTTAGGGCTGTGCTTAAAAATCATCTCATTTTTCAAGACTAACCAAACCAACTCTGCTAAATAATCTAACCAGTTGAAGCAACTCTCCCAAATACTATATAACCTCTAGTCTATTAAAACAACTCACACTTAAAATAGTACTGTTTGTTTTTATTTTTTTTATTAGCACATCGGCTGTCTCCCACCAAGGCAGGGTAGCCCAAAAAAGAAAAACTTTCATCATCATTCACTTCATCACTGTCTTGCCAGAGCATGCTAACACTACAGTTATAAAACTGCAACATTAACACCCCTTCTTCAGAGTGCAGACACTGTACTTCCCCTCTCCAGGACTCAAGTTCAGCCTGCCAGTTTCCCTGAATCCCTTCACAAATGTTACCTTGCTCACACTCCAACAGCACATCAAGTCCTAAAAACCATTTGTCTCCATTCGCTCCTATCTAACATGCTCACACATAATTTCTGGAAGTCCAAGCTCCTCACACACAAAACCTCTTTTACTCCCTCCCTCCAACCTTTCCTAGGCTGACCCCTATCCTGCCTTCCCTCCACTACAGATTTATACACTCTCAAAGTCATTCTATTTTGTTCCAACCTCTCTACATGTCCAAACCACCTCAACAATTCCTCTTCAGCCCTTGGTAATCCTGCACCTCCTCCTAATTTCCAAACTATGAATTCTCTGCATTAAATTTACACCATACATTGCTCTCAGACATGACATATCCACTGCCTCCAGCCTTCTCCTTGTTGCAACATTCACCACCCATGTTTCATGCATACAAGAGTGTTGGTATAACTATACTCTCATACATTCCCTTCTTTGCTTCCATGGACAAAGTTCTTTGTTTCCACAGACTCCTAAGTGCACCACTCGCCTTTTTCCCCTTATCAATTTGTACCATTATTAATTGTATTACTTTTAATTTTGTTTGTGACATTATTAATTTTATAATGTATATTGCATAATGTATAATTGTACTATGTACTTATACGTAATATTGTTTCTCGTTATGTGCAACACCAAAAATATTAATCTTTTAAACTTTCAAATTTTGACTACCTTGCATTAGTAATAAGATTAAATATTGTATAATTAAAAATTAACCACCTTTATTCTGTCTAGACTTAATTAAGTAGTCTTAAGTATTAGGATTAGTCTGCCTGAAATGCCCTGGGACGATAGTGGCTTTCTTTGTATCTAGCACATCAGAAATATAATTACACATTGTAACCTTTGCAAAGAAAGAAATCTTTGTCTTTGTCTTTGCAGAGGATGTGATACGGCACATCCTGGAGCTTGAACCACAAATACACATGCAGTAGTGTGTTTGAATAATACTCGTGTAAAACACAAAAATACACAGGGACACTTGGAAAGGGACCAAATTGAACATTTAGGACAATCTGCAGATACACTGCCACCCAGACACTGCCGCCCAGACACTGCCGCCCAGACACTGCCTGAGATGCTAAAGTTACCCAAATCTTGGGTAACTTTAGCATCTCAGGAGTGTTTGCCAGCTGATTCTACTCCACCACACACTACATAAGCACTTGACATCACTGGATCTGACCCCTACCCAGCTCATGTCACTTTCTCCTATATATACCATTTCTTTGTTCTTTGTACTGAAGTGAAAAAGCCTCCCCCCTGCTGTAGGCAAAACCTCTCCATCAAGTCTAACTTTGTGGTGACTTCCATGAAGTCTCTGACTTGATGAAAGTGCTGTGGTTATCAAAGGCTTTACAAATACGTACTACAGCTCTGACTGTTCAATGTTTATACATTTTGTTTTGTATATTCTAACTTTGTAAACTACATTACAAATTATTATTATAATATGCATCTTACTTTCTGATACCATCAACTACTCCCAATCTTTGTTATCTACCTGGAAAGCCTTGTTGAGGGAGTGCATTCGCATTCTTTCACGTTCATTGCTCTCTAGTCGCCGAAGGTTTCTCTCCCTTGCAGATATACCGGATCTCCTTTTTTTACCCCGCCGGGGTGGACCTGTTGATCCACTCAAGCAAGTCTTCTTTCGTTTTTGGCCAGCAATACTCATACTACTTCCACTACTGCTGCTAATACCACTCTCACTCTGGGAATCGGAGCCACTGCCTTCTGCTCCATTCTCATTCTCACCTGAAAATCATAAAGATTTGTTTTATATATAAATATATATATATACACACACAAACTGAAGCCAAAGCACAAAGCCTTCGAGTCACATTATTCAAACAATATACTACTCATTTCCCTATCCCCTGTACTTTTTTTTTCTTTTACTCTGTCAGATGTTTCCCACCAACATAGGGTGAACCAAAGGTGACACATTCACCATCACCCGCTCAATATTTGTCTTACCATCAGTGCACATACATCGCAACTGGATGGCCCTCTTAACAGCAAAATCTCCCAATTCATCCTTCAGAGTGTGGGCACTGTACTTTCCACCTCCAGAACTCATCTGGCTAAATGGTTTGCCCTGAATGCCTTCATATATGTTACCATATTCACACTCCTACAGCACATCAAATACCACTTAACCCTTTGACTGTCGCGGCCGTATATATACGTTTGCGAGGTACCGTGTTTGACGTATATATACTCATAAATTCTAGCGGCTTCAAATCAGGCAGGAGAAAGCTAGTAGGCCCACATGTGAGAGAATGGGTCTGTGTGGTCAGTGTGCACCACATAAAAAAAATCCTGGAGCACGCAGTGCATAATGAGAAAAAAAAAACTCCGACTGTTTTTTTTAATTAAAATGCCGACTTTGTGGTCTATTTTCGTATAGTATTTGTGGTTGTATTCTCGTTTTCTTGGTCTCATTTGATAGAATGGAAACTATATTATAGAAATGGAGGTGATTTTGATTAATTTTACTATAAAAAGAACCTGGAAATGGAGCACAAAGTACAGGAAATGTTTGATTTTTGCCGATGTTCAAAAGTGAACAAATGATGTCATTGTCCAATAAATGTCCAAATAGCCATTCTAATACGCAGTCATGAATGGGTTGATGTAATTTTTACAATTATTACAGTATTGCAGTAGTCTGCATAACAGTAAATCTTCTATTTTTTGTTTGAATAAAATTTCAAAATAAAAAGCAAGAGTAATATCACAGGGACCTGGAGACATGACTGATGAACAAAGAAAATGTTATTTTAGAGCCAGGAATGTCTGCATTGTTCATTCTGGACCTTATTTTGAAATTGTCGTATTTTTTAATTTTCGTGAAATTGGCCAAATTGCAAATTTCTGACCATGTTATTGGGTAGTTGAAATCGGTAAATGGGCAGTTTCTTGTACTCAATCGATAGAAAAAATAGAGTTCTGAAGAAATAGTTATGAGTTCGGTTGACTGGAATAACGGAATTAGCCGAAAATAGGGCTCAAAGTGGGCGAAATTGCCGATTTTTAAATATCGCCGAAGTCGCTAACTTCGCGAGAGCGTAATTCCGTCAGTTTTCCATCAAATTTCGTTTTTTTGGTGTCTTTACAATCGGGAAAAGATTCTCTATCATTTCATAAGAAAAAATATTTTTTTTTTTTTCGAATATTTTGCGACACCAGAAGCAACTTCAGGATTTGGCCCTTCGACAGTCAAAGGGTTAATGATCACTTGACCTAACACACATACACATGTCCACTTTTCACAACCTCTCTCAAGCTCTTCCTGAGACATCCCCTACACTATATTCCATCCATCCCAGATTTATACACCATCTTGGTCAACCTATCATATTCCATCCTTTTTCAATAACCTCATAACTTTTCACCAAACCCTTCCTTCTCTCTGAATTATACATCCCATACCACCACAGTGTCTTCTAATTTCCTTGCTCCTTATCTGTGTAACAGAATTCACACCTCACACTACAGTGGACCCCCGGTTTTCATCCGGTGCAGAAATCTTACAATTTGGATTTCAAGCACTTTTTTGGGGTGAAATTTTCCCCCGGGCTTCGTATATCTGCTCAGAAATCATCCATATCAGGCGCATCCACCTGCTCAGGATGCCACTTCTCACATGTGCCAGATTTAATCTGCCTCTGTCTCTCGTTGAGTTATCAATACTCCTCACATTCATCTATTGTTTTTTGTCCTTGTTTATTGATTGCAACTGTGAAATAAGCCACCATGGGGCCAAAGAAAGTTCAGAGTGCCAGTGCTTTGGTAAAGAAGGTGAGGAACATGACAGAATTCAAGAACTCATAGAATGAGTTGCAAAGTTTTGTGGAGAGATATCACTACCACCCTCTACAAAGGTATAGGGTGGTAGTGATGGTGGTAGAGGGTGGTAGTGATGGTGGTAGAGGGTGGTAGTGATGGTGGTAGAGGGTGGTAGTGATGGTGGTAGAGGGTGGTAGTGATGGCAAACAATCAAAGATGTTGAGAAGTTGTTGTTGGTGTGGATCAATGAAAAACAGTGGGAGATAGTGTTGTGGAGGTGATAATTTGCAAAAAGGCAAGGCAGTTGCATGCGGATCTCGTAAAGAATATGCCAACAAGAGTCTTCAATAAAGGTAAAACTGATTTAAGTGTTCATTTATCCATTAAAATTAGTGCTTTATATTTATTTCTCATTGTTTTCTGTATGTAACACTATAGTTATTTTTTATAAATGTAATTTTTGTTAATATTTTTGGGTGTCTGGAACAGATTAATTGGATTTACATTATTTCTTATGGGAAATATTACTTCGGTTTTCGTCCATTTCCGATTTCGGCAGACCTTCTGGAATGGATTAAGGACAAAAACCTGGGTATTACTGTATCTCAAACATAATCACTGCCTTCAGTCTCCTCCACACTGCAACATTTGAGGGCCATACCTCACACCTACACAAGTGTTACCACCATTAAACTTGGTACATTCTCCTTTTCTTCCACTATAAGCTTCATTCTTTCCAGATACCTCGACATGCCATCTACTTCCCCCCTCCCCCTCAATCTTTTCTATAAATTACCTTGTCTTTCATGCACCCATCTGCTGATTTATCCCCATGGAATATCTGAATTTATTCACTTCTTCTAAATTACTTTCCTCTAGTCTTAAAGTGCCTAGACCTTCATCACCTTGCTCGTTTCTATATTCACTTTCGACTTAATTTCATTTAGGCATTCTCCAAAACTCATACTCCAACTGCTGCAACTTCTCTTCTGGCTCCCTCAAAAGTATCATCATCAATAAATATCAAGTGACAAATCTCACCTTGTACCAGATTTTTTTCAACAAGTCAGCCATCTCCCACCGAGGCAGGGTGACCCAAAAAGAAAGAAAATCCCCAAAAAGAAAATACTTTCATCATCATTCAACACTTTCACCTCACTCACACATAATCACTGTCTTTGCAGAGGCACTCAGATACGACAGTTTAGAAGTCCCTCCAAATTGTCAATATCCCAAACCCCTCCTTTAAAGTGCAGGCATTGTACTTCCCATTTCTAGGACTCAAGTCTGGCTAACCGGTTTCCCTAAATCCCTTCGCTAAATATTATCCTGCTCACACTCCAACAGCTCGTCAGTCCCCATAAAGCCATCCATCTCCATTCACTCCTAACATGCTCACACATGCTTGCTGGTAGTCCAAGCCAAATAATCACTTAAAGCCAGGACATCTGGCTTCTTCTCATTCATAACATCCACAATCATCTCTTTCTTATCATTCACACAACATCCATGCACATTCAAACATCCCACTTTGATGGTTTTCTTTTTTCTTTTTAGTAGGCTATACAGGAAAAGGGGTTACTAGCCCATTGTTCCCGACATTTTAGTTGACTTTTACAGCAAGCATGGCTTATGGAGGAAAGATTCTTATTTCACTTCCCCATGGATATGAAAGGAAAAACAATAAGAACAAAAACTATTAAGATAAAATCAAAGAGAACTCAGATGAGCGTATATACATAAACATATACGTACGGTGGAACCTCGGCTTAAAAACTTGATCCATTCTATGACCTTGTTCGTATCCTGATTTGTTCGTATGCCAAGTCAATTTTCCTCATTTAGATCAATTGAAATGCAATTAATCCGTTCCAGCCTCTCAGCAGGCATGACAAAATAATGCTATGTTTTTTGTAATTACATTACCTAATAGAATACTCCATTCCCTTGAATGCACAGTAACTCATCTAATGACCATATGACCTGTTTCTGCGCTACAAATAATTGATTTTATTCGATTTGACCGGATTATATTATAAATTGTGCTACAAATTTGTACAACTATAAAGCTCCTTATTTGAAATACTCATTTGTATTTCATGTTGTAATTTGTTTACTGTAATTTTTACCACTGAATATATCATTGCTTAGTTAATCTTAAGTTAATTTTAAGCCTGCCCATAATGCTCTGCATACAAGGGGCTTCTGGCATGTACACTCAAACACTGTATTTCTTTTGTACAACTATGTATCATGTTCAAATAATGATAAATAAATAAATAAATGCTAATATCAACTCTTTGGCTTGGTTCTCTATCACAATTCATCTAATATGACATAATAAACAATAATAATAACATAGAAACATGATATATACTCTAGAATGAATAAAATAGGCCATAATATGGAGAGTGATGGCAACGCCAGCAGCAGCATCCTGCCCCTCCCCCCATTTACTCCCCCACTCTAGTATCTTCCCGGTCCATAACCCCACACCTAGCTTGTTTTTATCTATAATTAGCAGTGAGGTTGTTACAATATGTAACCACAGGTGTGGTCAAGACAGATGTATATACAGTGGACCCCCGCATAACGATGGCATCACATAGCGATTTTTCCGCATAACGATTACTTTTATCGCAAAATTTTTGCCGCGCATACCGATTAAAAACCCGCTTACCGATTTTCGTCCGAGACGCGTCCAATGTGCCCTCAGCCAGCCTCACATGTGCCGCCCCGTCCCATTGTTTACCAGCCAGCCTCCGCGGTAACATCCAAGCATACACTCGGAATATTTCGTATTATTACAGTATTTTCGGTGCTGTTTCTGGAAAATAAGTGACCATGGGCCCCAAGAAAGCTTCTAGTGCCAACCCTACACCTCAAAGGGTAAGAATTACTATAGAGATGAAGAAAGAGATAATTGATAAGTATGAAAGTGGAGTGCGTATAGCCGACCTAGT